TGATATGCCACCTGCTAGTCGTTCACCTTTAGATGGTTTACACAGCAGCGCATCTGCCGGCCTGGCTTGGGTGGACACTCTGTGAAGTGGCCCAGCCTTGCGCAAGTTGTCTGGAGGACAGCCTGCTGCGTGGGTGCGGGTTTCCTGAGAGCATCCCGTGACGGCCTCTTTTCATGAGTGACTCAGCCCTGCCCTGCTGATGAACTCTATACCTACCAAGTCATTATCAAATGCGACTTCATTCCACCTGGCCCCTCCAGATACTCTGAATACTGGGGAGAAACAGGCCTCTAGGGGAGGCCTCCATGACTCGGGGGAGTATTAGTTTGAAGGAGGAGAAGTAGCAAACTGAAATTTTGTTTCCTAATTACTGTTAGTGGTTTCGGGTCAGCTGATCACAAAGTTTCACATCCTTGTGTACAAAGCTAAGCTCAATGCAGCTGCCTGGGAAGAAGATTTGGAAAGAAGGTTCTCAGGTAAGTTTTCATTGTTCAGCAATTCAGAAATATACCAAATCAGTATGTTACTTTTTGGATTTGCCTGTTTATAACATGACAAACACTAAATCTCACTAAATTTCTTTTATAAGCCTATATATTTGATTTATGTCATGTTATGATTTATGTTTTGAGGGAAGGAAGGCTAGTTTTGAGAGTTTCTAAAATAGTAACTGGGGTAAAAAATAAATCTAATGCTACAGATATGAGTGAAGTGTCTCCTAAAGTCTCACTAAAACTCTCTGGTCATTGATGTCAACCTGCGTGCCACTTGGTATCATTCCAGGAGGTTCAGGTGGGTAGGAGACCTATCAGGGCAATAGAAAGTCCACGGAGAGGACAGTGTCCCTCTGTGCAGTTTTAGCTTTAAATGGAGGCATTTCCTGTTCAGGGATGAGAGGTTGCTCAGCCACAGCATGACTGACATTTGGGGTGAGACCATTCTTAATTGAGGGTTGACATATGCACTGCCCAAGGCTTAGCAGCGTCCCTGGCCTCCCTCTCAGGATGCCAGCAGCACCCATTCCCCAGTCGTGGCCACCAGAAACAGTCTCTAGACATTGGCAAATGTCCCCTCTGGGAGGGAAGGCCTGGCTGAGGGTGCCAAGTGGCCCCACAAGAACACTTGTCTTTGTAGCCTTTGAGTCAGCATAACCTTATAGGGCATTTTAAAACTCAGGTTGATGGCAGTGCCTTTGGCCGACCAACCTAATTACAGCCATGAGCGTCAAGGTCATTATTTTCTACAGAAAGAATCCTGCCTAAAGGATTTAATGCCGAAGAGACTCTGGAGACCAATCTCATCCTTTTATAAATGTGGCCCAGAAAGGTTCAGCAAACCTCTCCAAGGTCACACAGACAGGGGAAGTGACACCACGGCAGGAAGGATATGTGTCAGGACCCCATGTAAGAGCCTTTTAATACCATGTTCTGACTGTCCTGGACCCGAGCCATAGGCGCTGTGCTGTGCGGATCAAAATTTTTCAGGTTTTCAGAATGTTAACACGTTTTAGAAAATTAAATTAGCGCAGTTAATGCTTGTGTAAGCAGGAATGATTGAAAGAAGATACAGTTTTCCATGACAAATTGCTTTTCTTCTTAAAAAGCTTTAGTTCTCCCACAGTTGTTAAAGAAAAAATTATTTGTGACACTTGCTAAAGAATGAAAAGGTGGAAGTTCACTCCAGGGGGCTGTCTAGGTAGACCAGGGACCTCTGGCAGCAGGATTGACAGTGAGGGGCAGAGACTGAGCTCTGCTCCAAACGCCACCAGTTAAGTCAGGATTTATTCTCTCTGGGGCAAATGAGAGTCTGTGGATAGAAACTGCTAAGCAGAGACATGCAGGTCAACAGGACGCCCTGAGCAGGTGGGACAAGGAGATGTGGACAGTAGGGATCAGGAATTGATCAGGTTTCCAGGGTGGGGGATTCTTGCTAAACCGACCCAGCAGCATTCTTGCTAAACTGGACAGAGGGGCTGAGGCCAGGGTGGGGCAGGTCCGGCCTCCACATGGGGTGGAGGAGCCAGACTCCTAGATTGTGTAAATCCAAAGAATCACGTGCCTGTGGTTGATCCATTGTCAGCAGATCATGAACCTGGGTTCTAGTATTTTGAAACATCCCCTGAAAGCACAGTGGGGCACCCCTCCTGCTTGCAGAACTGACATTTCTTTCTGGGGAGTGACTGTGGATTTAAAAGTGGGGAAATTATTTTATTCCTCTATCATCCTGAACTCAGTTATTTTGCTTAGTTTAGGAGACATAAATGGGCTAATGTCTTTTTAAAACTCTGTCTTTTTCCTAAAGAAACCAAATGTTGCAATAAGCACATATTACTTAGACTATCAGAAAAAGGAGAGAAGGATCGAACCATCCCTCTTCAGTTGTCTTCTCCAGACACTTTATGGCACAGTATTTCAAAACGTGGCTTTGTCATTTAGCAGTTGTGCAGAGTGGCACAAGTTACTTGACCTTAACCTCACTGAACACTGGTTTTCTGTCTATGTAATGTGGGTGATAGCAGTGCTTGCCTCAGACACCTGTGATGTTTGAATGGGCCATTCACAGACAGCACTTAGCGTGAGCCTGGCTACAGTAAGCTCTAAGTGCATGTTAGTCATTGTTGTCCCATTTGCAGGAGGAAGTGACATACCTGTCATCAGAGTGGGTGGTTGGGAGGGGAGGGCAGGTTGTAAATATCAGAGCCTGGGCTGTAGTGGGAATGGGCTCAGGAATCAGCCTGTTTCCTTCCAAGTCTTCCAAATCCCACAAGCATTTATCAAGTTATACCTGTAATTGTTTTTTAAAAAAACCCGAAAGTTCTATTTTCATCACTAAGCTTTAAAGATGATAGTGAGAACACACAATTAGTAATATTTAAATTCAAGCTGAGGAAATCAGTGGGAGCACTGGGAGCCCCAGTTCCTTCTGAGGCAGGCCTGAAAGGATTGCCCTGAATTTGAGGAGCCCCCGGAGAGCACCTTCCGCTCCTATTTACACTGTTTTCACACATTCCCAAGGACTCAGCATTTCAGCGAACCTAAGTGAGACATACAAGGAAACTTGAATGTGAATATAAACCATTTTCCAAATTGTGCTGAAGATGTGTAATTTTATAACACCTTATTTTTAAAGGGTGTTCATAATCAAAGCGCATTATTTAATCTCTAAAACAGTCCTAAGAATGAGATAGGTAGATGTGTTGCTACATTCCAGGAAAGAACAAAAAAAGCATGTGTCTCTCACAAAGGTATGGCGTATTTCAGTTCAGCTCCTAAAGGCTTTGAGCACCTCTGGCACAGGAGGGCAGGGGTGTAGGTGGGCAGGGTGGTCAAAGACTGCTTTAGGCTCAGCGCCTGTAGCTCAGAGACTAGGGCACCAGCCACATACACCAGACCTGGCAGGCTGGAATCCAGCCCAGGCCTGCCAAACAAGGACAACTCCAACCAAAAAGTAGACAGGCGCTGTGGCGGGCTCCTGTGGTCCTAGCTACTTGAGAGGCTGAGGCAAGAGAATCGCTTAAGCCCAAGATTTAAGGTTGCTGTGAGCTGTGACGCCACAACACTCTACCCAGAGCGACAGCTTGAGACTGTCTCAACAACAAAAAAGAAAGACTGCTCTTTATAATCCAGATGCTTCTCATCTACCTTATTTTTTTGAGGCATTCCATTTGTTCTTTCAACAAATATTTATTGATAACCAATTAACTGCCAGGTTCTATTCCAGGTGTGGGTTCTAAAGAGTGAACAAAATCTAGTCTCATGCAGCTCACATTTTAATCAGAAAACACAGAAATAAACAACTAAAGTCACAAATAACTAAAACAAGAACAAATTTATTAAAAATAAACAACCACAAGTACAGGTTTGATGGTGAGAAGAACAATAAAGAGCTTAAAAGTGGTGATGCCCCCAGGGCTCCGACCGGGGTAACCTGCCTTCACCAGGGCCAGGTACTCTGCGCTGCGCGGGCGGCGCGGGAAACCCCCGCTGCACCTGCGCCAGGCCTTGCCGCCCTCGGGCACCTCCGCCCTTTTCTGGGCGCTGGGGGCCCAGGGCCGCCCTACGCGTTCCCCGGGCCGCCCTACGCGTTCCCCGGGTTCCCCGCTTGCGAGAAGCCAGGCTAAGGGGGCGGGGCCCGAGGCCGAGGCGCAGGGAGGGCGGGGCGGAGGCGGGGCCGGACCGGACCACTGGGCGTGACAAAGGGGGGACCTAGCGCGACTCGGCGGAGGGGGGAGGTGGGGCCCAGCCCCGGCCCGGCTGGTGGCAGGGCCGGGAGAGTCCGGGCGAGGGGCGGGAACACGGCCCGGGGGCGAGGTTGGGGGTGGGGGGCGTGAAGGGAATGGAGCTCCGCGTGGCCGTCGGACAGGCGGTTCACCTGCGCACCCACTCGGGCACGTCAAGCCTGTCCAAACCCCGAGGCCCCGTTCTGAGATCGCATCACCGTCCATCGGGAGCGCGGGACTCCGGCCTCGTGGTCCTGGGAGTTTCCGCGGAGATCTGGGGGGGTCTCAGTGGAAGTCTCCGTGGGGGTCTTCGCGGGGGGGTGTGGAGTGGAGCTCCAAGAGGGTCTCCGCCTCCGCGCGAGGGGTTTTCGTGTGTTGGTCTCCTGGGGATAATCGCCATGGGGGTGGTCCCAGGGGAGAGGGTCGTGGAGTGGTTTTCGGGGGTCCACGAAGCCGCGGCCCTGCCTGGAGCGGTGGGCTTTCAGGTCGTGGCTGGCTGTCTCGGGGCCCCTGCAGCTGCAGAGTCCCTCGTTAGGGTACAGCCCGGGAGTCTAGCGGCCGACCTGGGACTAGAAAGGCACGTCGCCTGGAAGGCGCTGCAAAAACTGCGGGGAAGGCGGGGAGGCCACTTGAACTCCGCCCCCGACCTCGACCCTCCCGCAGTACCAGCTGTGGAGGCGCCCGGGCGGGGCCTGCCGTAGTCCCGCCCATGAGCGGGTGCGCGTGCGCGGGCGTGTTTGCGGCGGGCAGGTCGTGACCGCGCGGCAGTGCCGTCAGTGAGCGCCGGGCGGGCCGGGGCGCAGCTGCGATCCTAGGTGAGGGCCAGGCCGGGACTAGGGGCTGGGGTGGGGGTCTGGGCTGGCGCCAGTGGGCGCCTCGCGTCGCGGCCGTGGGGCGTTCGAACCCGCAGCTCAGGGTCGCGCCAGGGCATGGATTGCCCCCTGTGGCGTAGTGGGCAGCGCGGTCGCTATCATGACATTTCGAGCGCTGCAGATGCGGACAGAGACAGGCCAGGAGGCGCCATCGCTTTGGCCTTGCTCCCGCGGACTTGCTGGGTATGTGCGGTCTGCTTACCTCTGCAGGCGGAGGCGTGGGGAAGGCCCTCAGGACCCCACAGGTGTCATCGCAGCTCTTGCTACGAACCAGCCTGGCCATAGCAGGAGGTGTCACCAGGGAATTCGGTCTGCAGGGCCGGGGGCTCTGGGTCTGGTAGCCGGGATGGGAGCTGACGGTGCTGAGCTGCTGCTGTTACCAAACTGTTGGGGTTGCGGTGCGGTGTGAGTAGTGGGCGGGGAGCTCGGGGCTCCTGAACATTTGTATAGTGTGGTAGATTCTGCTGCTGGTGACTCTTTCTGAAAGATTGGGGGAGAAGTGGCTGTTTCCTATTCCTGTTTCAGTTTACCTTGTATGTGGAATCTGTCACTCTTTGCTTTCTACTTATTTTTATATTTTTGTGGACTTTTTCACTTAAAACTTTTCTGGAAGTTTGTGAGAGGAAAAGGCAATGGCGAAGTATCAGCGATTGAGGGAACATGAGAAAACCGCACTCTCCACTGTGCCCCGGCTGTTCCGTGCCTTCCAGAAGCAGCACAAGTAGACTGGCTGTCAGCTGCTAGGTGTAGTTATGGCGGTTCTTCCTCCAGTTTCCCTAAAAAGAGCTAAAATAACAGGTTTCTCTAGGTGGCCTCAGAGATGTTCAGGACAATACTTTTTGGTAGTGAGAAACTGGAAAAAAGGTTACTAGGATTTTGGGAAGGTAAGTGATGGCACAGCCCGGAGACAGTCTCTGAAGCCATTAGATTGACAGGTGAATGTGTTATAGTAACATGTTGCTAAAAGGAAAGAAACAAATTACAGGGTATGCTGCTGTCCCCTTCTACAAAAAAAAAGGGAAGCTTATATCTAAGTGAACAGTTGGCACAGCAGTCACCAAAAATAGTGAGAATGCTTAGGGCTGGGTGGGAGGATTGAAAGGTTTTCATTTTTGTGTTTTCATGGCTGTTTGTATTTTCTGAATTTTGTTTATTGACCATGTTTTTCTTTTGATTTTGGAAAAAAATATTTTTACAAACTTTCCACTTACGATTCCCAAAACCTCAGAAGTATAATCCTCATGCAAACAGCCTGTGTTAGGTTATATTTGTCTCCTAATGAAGGATGCGGCGGGATGACAATTTCAGTTGGAAGAGAATACACAAAACTAGAATTTTTATAGGGCGTGAATAAAGAGGAATGCTGAGATAAGACATTAGATTAGATACACAGTTGGCAAATATCCAACATACCATGAAACCATAGTCCTTGGGGTAATCTCTTCTCGAGTCTAGACGTAAAGGATAATTAACTTTGCAAGTTGTGAGATGTTTAGGCCCCAATAAGTGGTAAATAGTGAGTGAATTATTTCTCCTTGGAAGTCAGGTGATTCTGTGGGGACTTTGAAAGCGCTGACTAGCATGGCAAAAAATTTTAAAAGCAACCATTTTTTCCTTTTGACTTTCAGGTTTTGTGTGAATTATTTAGCCAAAGATAGAATGGTTGGTATCTGTTCAAGCAGTTTAGCCCCATTGAACAGGAGGCACTGATGGGGCAGGACAGAGCTGGAGGGTCCTGGTAGTCACCGAGCTCTAGTTCCTGGTTACACTGCAACACTGGAGCTCACATTTTTGTTAATTTGTTTGCATTCAAAATTTTTTTTCAAAATGTATGGTTCAACACAAAAGAACAGATTAAGTCATAGAATCTTCTAAGAGAAAGAATAAGATGAGGTTTGCAGATATTTTCCCAAAGAAAATGAAGTTCTGCGGAGTCAGGACGTAGGGCTTTTGGTTGGTGCTGAGATGGTGGCCTTTCCAGGGGTCACTTCCTTTTTGGCTTTTGTTCCTCAATCACTGGGAGAAAGGGGCTGGAGGGGAAGAGCCTTGAAGGCTTCCAGATTGAAAGGGCCTAGTCTGTGCTGTTCAGTCACCAGTTTTACATGCGGAAGGGGCAGTGACTCTTAGCTGTTCCTCCAACTTAAGGCTTTGGAGGACACAGAGGAGTCCTTAAGTCTGGGCCTTGCCATGAGGCAGGTACACAGCAGTGGAACAGGGCTGACCCCAGCGTCCCCTTTTGCACATTTAAGGTGAGGGGGATATGGTTGAGTCAAGGGGCAGAAACAGAAACAAAAGGAGAACTGGAGCTCTTCCCACTCGGTCTGCACTGCCTCCCAGAATGAGGCCTCGCTGCACTCCTGTGATGCTGCCTGGTGACTCACTGATGCCCCAGGGTGATGCACTGCTCACTGATGCAGCAGGACTCTGCAGGGCTCCAGGAGAGGCTGACTGGCTGCCCAGGCTGGATCTGCAGGGCCCAGACAGTGAGGAATGTGTCTCATTCATGTGTCACTGCCGGGAGGATGCTGACTGGAGCTAACCAGGTTCAGAGACCCATGGTAACAGCCTGGGCTTCTCTGCAGACTCCCTGTGCATGCAGCTGTGTAGAAGCACACACAAACAGCAGGTTTACAGCAAACAGTCAGAGTGGGGGATTGCTGATAGGGTTTGAAGGGGGAAGGCGTTTTCTGTTTTTTATCATCTGTTGCTTCTGTATCTCTAATTGGTACCTATTATCTGACCACCGAAAGGGTCTCAGTTCTGGCTTCCTGCCTCTATTTCAGTGACAGATTTTAACCTGTCTGTAGTTCCTTTTTAGATATGATAATGTCTCCAGAAAGATACTTGGAAAGCTGAAGACCTGGAAGCCATTCTCCTGTAAAGATTAAATAAACTAGTTGAATGGCCTGGGTCCTGGTAGGTGCTTCCTGCTCTGCTATTCTGTACCTGCATGTCTTATTCCTATAGTCAGACGCGGGGGCTCAGTGTGCTTAAAAAAGAAACTCGTTTTCTTAGCTTCTGAATAGCAAAACCAAGTTTGGAACCCACTAAGCCACCTGCTCTGCTGGACCCCGCAGTTCTCAAGTCCAGGAGTCCCTGCACCCTGACCAAACCAAAGACTTCCTGAAGGTCCACTTCCACTCACTGCTTCCCCTGGAGGATTTGCATCATCAGACCTTGGCCAGAACTTTCTAGAGTCAGGGAGACCTCCCTGTTTGAAGGCAAAGGTCCCACAGAAGTTAGCTAGCTGTTAGCTGGCTGTTTTGTCCAGGAGCACATTGAGGCAATCATGGCAGAATGGAGCTTGTAATCAAGACCTCATGACTGACATGGGGAAAAGTATAAGAAGAAATTTTTGAAGAAGCCCATATTTTATGAGTTCATGGTTTTTCACAGGTCAGTGCTTGGCAGTGAGGCCTCCCTTCTTCTCAGCCTGATTGTCTCTAACCCTGGTGATTTGTCTCTTCTCTCAGCATTGGACTGCACTTGAGGTTGATCTGTGCCTGTTGGTGCACGGAGTCAAGAGGTGACTTGCTGCAGATGGAATTCCAGAGCCAATTACACCTGCCAGCCCCTTAATGTTGTGTTAAACTCAGTTCATGCACAGGTTAACTCAGAGTGCATTTGGAGGTGTGTAAGTGCACTGTAGTCTTACCCTACGTGGCGGGAGGCCTGGGCCACAAGGTGTGGATCATGGACAGAGCAGTACTTTGATGTCATCCATGACATCCATCAGAGAGCACACCTGTGTGACCCCACAGCATGCACTAGGGCAGAATGAGACAGGAGCCACGAGACTTTTGGTAAGAAACATAAATACCAATCCAATCTTTTTCCCCATGAAAAAGGGAAAAAGATTCACACAGAGTTAGCCTGTATTAAAGCTAGAATGTCAACAGAGAAGCAGGGAACTAACACTTCTACCATTCTGCTTTTGATTGTATGACCACTGTCAAGAGTATGATAGTTGTCGTGTCATGTGCTTTAGGACTCAGACTCAAGCTTGCCTGAGTGATGTTTGCAGCATCCTTGGCATGTGGTCACAACAACTATTTCAGCTGAATAGTAATTCATGATTTTTCCTGAAGTACCATGATGAACACCTCCTTCGGGGCCCCCACTCTAGATGTGCTCTCAGAGAGTAGAGGGTCCTGTGTACAGCAGCAGACGTCCCCAGTTCCACTTTCTGTTCTGGGTGTGGTTCATGAGGGTCCTCTCCCCTGCCCAGTGCCGTGTTGGAGTGAGCCCCTGCAGACTGGAGATTGCGGGAGAGGGCTAGATGGCTATCTGAAGGCCAAGTTCCTGATGGTGCTTTGTCCGTAACTGATTCCACGGTCTTCAGTCTGTGTGCTGGATTCCTGCCATATAAAAGCAAAGGCCAGGATAGGTAACTTCACAGACTCCTTCCAGTGTTGAGAACTGCAGACTCTGGTTTTTACAGTTTCACAAACAAAATAAGTTCAAACTCAGGTAAACTGAACCACTTGAGAATAATTTAGAATCTGTTCATGTATTCAGCAAGTATTTGAGTGCCTGCCATGAGCTAGGTGTTGAGATAGAGTTTAGTTCAGACCATTGCAAAGTAACAGACCTGAGGACTTGTTTCTTTCCCACTGTTCATAAGGACATCTGAACACAGTGAGCGGCGATACATGATACTAAGACACATACACGAGTGCCTGCGATGCCCCAGACCTTGTTTTCATGTCCTGATGCCTGTCACCTCTTCCTGTGCTCACCACGCTGCTTTCTGTATGAGGGAACAGCCTCGGAGAGGTCCAGAGGATTTGAACCCAGGCAGGCCTCACCTCCTCCCAGCTGTGTGCCGAGGACTGTTCGAAGTGTGGTGCTGCTCACAAGTAGCTGGGCCACACAGAACTCAGAGCGCGAAGGTCATGTTCTTGTCTCAGGTTCTAGAAGTAAAATGTTTTAACAAAGTACATGCCAGTGTTTTACCCTGAGGAGTCTGACTGCTGGGAAAGCCAGGGCCTCGTGTGGAAGCCCCCGGGAAGAGCACAGCACCGTGCGTCCACGCCAGACACCCTCCTTCCTCCTGCTCAAAGTGGTGCCTCCCTGTCCCTTCTGCACCACCAGTGGGGTTATCGTGTTAATGTCTCTTTGTAAATGCAGAAGAATAAGGTACTGAGTTAATTATTAATAATAACAGAATTATTATTAATTGATAACAATTATTATTAATTATGATGATGTTTTTGCATTACTGGGTTAGTCACATATCCAGGCTTCTGTTTAGTTGTCATGAAGTGAATTCTCTTTCTTCCTTCAGATTGAAGACCGACAGATGATGATCCCAGAGACAGCTGCGCCAGCTCCATTGTTTTGGATAAGACACAGTGTAGGGCCCAGAAACCCTGTGTTGGCCCTGTGACTCCTTTAAGACTCAGGACAATGAACCCTGCGAGTGATTGGGCCACATCAGAGAGTATTTTTGACTTGGACTATGCTTCCTGGAAGATCCGTGCGACGCTGGCGGTCGCTGGCTTTATCTTTTACCTGGGTGTCTTTGTGGTCTGTCACCAGCTGTCATCCTCCCTAAATGGCACATACCGTTCTTTGGTGGCCAGAGAGAAGGTGTTCTGGGACCTGGCGGCCACGCGGGCGGTCTTTGGTGTTCAGAGCACAGCCGCAGGCCTGTGGGCTATGCTGGGGGACCCCGTGCTTTATGCCGACAAGGCACAAGGCCAGCAGGGCTGGTGCTGGTTTCACATCACAACTGCAACTGGGTTCTTCTTCTTTGAAAATGTTGCGGTCCACCTGTCCAACTTGTTCTTCTGGACATTTGACTTGTTTCTGGTTGTCCATCATCTCTTTGCCTTTCTTGGGTTTCTTGGCTCTGTCATCAATCTCAGAGCTGGCCACTACCTGGCCATGACCACGCTGCTCTTGGAGATGAGCACCCCCTTCACCTGCGTTTCCTGGATGCTCCTGAAGGTAAATGCTCCCCCGGGCTTCCCATATTTAATTACTGATTAGAATTTTGCTGTGGGCAAAACTCATCAGCAGACTGAGCCACAGCATACACATGCAACAATAAATTCAGTTTGGTTATAGGTTATTCTCTTAATTTTAAATCTTTTAGACTTTTTGCTCCTTTGTGTGTGTGTGTGTGTGTGTGTGAGACAGAGTCTCACTATGTCACCCTGGGTCAAGTGCTGTGGTGTCACAGCTCACAGCAACCTCTAACTCTTGGGCTCAAGTGAGTCTCTTGCCTCAGCCTCTCGAATAGCTGGGACTACAGGCGCCCACCACAACGCCCAGCTATTTTTTGTTGTAGTTGTCATTGTTGTTTAGCAGGCCTGGACTGGGCTTCAACCTGCAGCTTCACTGTATGTGACTGGCGCCTTACTCACTGAGCTACGGACACCGAGCCAGACTTTCTGCTCCTTCAGGAAAGAAAACTCAGTGGATCTCATAGCTCAGTGGGGAATATTTGTAAACCCCAGAAAACATTATTTTTTTTCTTTCTATCAATACTTCAAAAAAAAAATTAAGTAACATATATGTGTGTATACATGTATCTTTTTCTGCTTTTTTATTTTTTAATAAGATTTTACTAGTGATCAAAAGTACTGAGACCTGGCTTTGTTATTTGCTCAGCACTTAGTTCATTTTTGATTTTGAGAGTATTTTCTAAAATGTATGTCTTTTATCTTTGATCTTGATTGTCATTTTGATGTCAAAATGTTTCTCATACACTCTTTTTTAAAGATCTTTGAGCATAGATTCTGCCATATTTTATAACCCATTACATTGTTCATAGACTATTTTATGTGAAACTTCAAATACTGCTACCTTTAACCAGTCATACAAGTGGGTTACATTTTTGAGCTCTTGTGTACAGAATACTGTGGTAGGCTTTAAGAGAAAAAATAAGTACAAAATATCACTTCTGTCTTCAGGGTCTAGTTGGATAGATGGTGTCAATTCATCAAAGTAAATTAACAACATAAGCCATGCAGCCCCTTCATACATGACAAACTTGGAGCCACTGGGTGCCAGGCACTATGCTAGGACCTGGAGCTAAAGAGAGGCTTGTGTTCCTGCTGTCCCACCCTGGGCTGGGCTTGCCTACAGCCAGCAGAGGATGTGTGAGTACAGGGATAGGAACCTGCAGTGTTGTGGCCCCAGGGAGGGGCCTGTATGGACCTGGAGGAGCAGGATGAGGCTCCTCCAGATGTTCAGGCTCAGGCGTCTCCTGCAGTGAGAGAGCAAGAGGAACAGAAAGCAGCTGGCCTGGAGCCCACTGGCACAGACACTCTGAGCCCATGGGCTCCTTCTAGACAAACTTCAGTGCAGGCAGAGCCTCAACATGAATTGTTATGTCTGATGAAGAACAACAGCAATTGCCTTGTTTTAGTATGCAGAGAAGTCCGGGCAGTTTCGTGCTGATTTCTGCCCTTTGTCTCCTACAGGCCGGCTGGTCAGATTCTCCGCTTTGGAAGCTCAACCAGTGGCTGATGATTCACATGTTTCACTGCCGCATGGTACTGATCTACCACATGTGGTGGGTGTGTTTCTGGCACTGGGACGGCCTGGTCAGCAGCCTGTATCTGCCTCACTTTGCAGTCTTCCTTACGGGACTGGCTCTCCTAACACTCATCATTAATCCATATTGGACCCATAAAAAGACCCAGCAACTTCTCAATCCAGTGGATTGGAACTTTGCACAGCCAGAAACAAAGAGCAGTTGGCCAGAAAGGACCAATGGTCAAGTGCTGCAGAAGAAGAGGCCATAGCCATGCGGAGCCAGACGGGTCCCAAGCACCAGTGGATACTGTGGACACTTGGGCCCTACTAGGTTCCGTGAATAATGGTTTGGTAATGGATGAGCTGGTGAATGTTTTGTGTTCTAAGTGAAAATACTAACTTTCTTTCTCATTAGTATTAATGTTGAAGTAGCCACAAAATGTTAAGACCGTGATTCTCCTGATTCACAGATTTTTGCGTAATGATTCCCTGACTGTTCTGATGTATTCTGTGGCTCAGCCGCCTGGGACCAAGGTTCAGGGACAGGCCGTGGTGTCAGGTTTTACAGACTTTCCAGGGGGAGCTTTGTTTGAATACTTGAAGCAGCGACATAGTGGGCTGGATTGGCTCAGCATGGACTTCCCAGTCACATGTTCATGTTCTGTGTGTCTTATTCAGAGTCATGTTCAATTTAGTTGGAGAGAATTGGCCTAAGATAGAAAATAATACGATTTGTTGCCCTTGTCAAAATTCCCCATTTATGAAATTCAAAAACCAGGTGTACAGCAGTGCCATCTAGTGGCAGAAAGTATACAGGCACCTTCCTGGGTCCACTGCTCTCCTGGCTGGGTGAAGGCACCTTGGAGTTTGCCCACCCTGACAGGGTGTGGAGTGGTCCAGGTGAAATCTTGCAAATTATGTGTTTATCACTGAACCTATTTTTAAAATGAGAATTTTTTCATTCATATTGTATTGCTTAATTGACAAAATAAGGTAGATGTTTGGTAATCAGATTTCTAGATTTTAGAACCATTTTTAAATGACTCAATTGCTCATAGGTGCCCAAACTAGACTCTAATTCCTTGGTTGGTGTTTCTCTGTTGATTTCAAAACAAGACAGTGATAACATTTTCCTGTGAGCTGTGGGGTGGACCTGAACCCCTCAGAGCTCAGCTGTAGGCCTTGGGTCCCTAGAATGGCCCCACAGCAGCCTGGTGACAGATCTCAGGGTACATTACTTTACTGTTTTGTGCAGATAAAATTTATATACCAATTTAGCAATTTTACTGACACACACAAATTTTTTTGTCTTGAATATGCTATTTTAAGTCAAAGTTTATTTTATTTTATTTTATTTTTGCAGTTTTGGCCAGGGCCAGGCTTGAACCCACCACCCCCAGTACATGGGACTAGTGCCCTGCTCCTTGAGCCACAGGTGCCGCCCATCAAAGTTTATTTTTTATCAAAAGCACCATCAGAGTGTTTGTGAAAGGCACAAGTTGCTCTTGAAAATCATGTGTGATTGACTTGGTGCCCATCGCACAGTGGTTAAGGCGCCAGCCACATACCCTGAGGCTGGTGGGTTTGAACCTGGCCTGGGCTACCTAAACAACAATGACAACTGCAACCAAAAAATAGCCGGGCATTGTAGCAGGAGCCTGTAGTCCTAGCTACTTGGGAGGCTGAGGCAAGAGAATTGCTTAAGCTGGAGAGTTTGAGGTTGCTGCAAGCTGTGATGCCACAGCACTCTACTGAGGGCAACTTAGTGAGACTCTCAAAAAAAAAGAAAAGAAAATCATGTGTGACATGCTTGTTAGGTATCATGAAACTCTCATAATAGTGTATTTTCATTACTGATGCTTTGATTTTATTGATTATACTTAAGTCAAGGTATACAATAATCTATTTATATCATTTTAAAAAATGATTTTATTCCAAGACGTACATAACAGTGGTGTCCCTACTAAGATGAATGACTGAAAACCCATGCTCTGGCATCTGGCTTTCTCTGTGCGCTATGCCCTTTCCTATGGTCCAGCAGTAGCAGGAATTTTGACTGGGCAGAACGTGAATAAAGTAGCCAGTACTTACAGACCCAAGTGGTGTCAGTTCTTGTCTCTCAGACTCAGGTTACTGTTCATAGCACTATGAATATTTTGTATCTTGGAGATACAAAATGTGCTGATAAATCTTCACATGTTCAAAATTCAGATTAAAATTGGAAGTGTTTAGCCTAATTCTTACCTGAGGTGCACCAGGACTTTGATCTTCATGGGTTCACGTGTTGCATCCTGCGTCTTAACACACCTTTGGACACAGAGATGGGAATGCCGCATGGGCTCACCTGCTGGGTCTCCTGCTGCCCACACACTGGCATTCCCTTCTGACCCAGGACTTCTCATAGGAGCAGGGAGGCAGGTGTCAGGGTGGAAGAATCTGTGAACCCCATGACCTATGCCCCTTCCAGATTGCACCTCACTCTGGGGGGCCCCTGCGGCCATGTGAGTGGTTATGTCTGCAGCCAGGTTGTATCTCACAAGCCAGCATCCAGCTGTGTGTGCTTTCTGTGACTCGTGCACCATGTATTAGGGTAACCTGGGTGAGTTCACACAACAGTCAGGAATTGCAGCATCTCTTGGAAACTGAGACGATGGGAGCATTATTGGCCTTAACCTGCACCTGAGGACAAGTGTCCCAGGGGCAAACAGTTCTGCCTTAGCTGGGAGTCGGGCTCCAGCATGAGGCCCTTGGTATGTTACTTGTCACTGCCCTTTCTCTTTCAGTGGAGACATAGAGCTGTCTGGAAAGTAGCCATTTTTTTTTTTTTGTTAAATCATAGATGTGTACATTAATGTAATCATGGGGTACATGGGGTCTCATGTAGTGTTTTCATATACAATTTGAAATATTTTCATCAAACTGGTTAACTTAGCCTTCATGTCATTTTCCTAGTTATTGTGTTAAGATGTTTATATTCTGCTTTTAGAAAGATTCACTTGTACCCTTGTGAGATAAACCATAGATGTGATCCCTTCAATCACCGTCCCTCCACCCATCCACCTCCTCCCCTTTCCAACCATTTTTAAAACCAGTTTTCATAGTACATGGCTAGATAACTTTCCAGACTACCCTTGTATTTCCTTTCCATGTTTTTTTTTTCAAAATTGGAAAATAAAATGGGCTGAGGTGGTTGAGTGATCCAGGAGCAGTGGGATCGAATGTGTTTTCTCTACACTGGGAAGACTCTGGCCCTGCAGAGAGATCAAAGTAGATGCTGTGGACTCCACTTTACAGTTTGGAGCGGGGGTCCTCAATCTTTTTAAACAGGGGGCCAGCTCACTGTCCCTCAGACCATTGGAGGGCCGGACTGCAGGCCCCAGGACAAGTCTGCTGCTAAGCAGGACAGGCAGCAGTGGCAAAAACACCCAGCAGGCCAGATAAATGCCCTATGCGGGCTGCGTGTGGCCCACGGGCCATACTTTGAGGACGCCTGGTGTGGAGACTTGAGGCTCAGAGGAGGTGTGCCCTGTGGTAGTGACGCAGCCAGTGAGTGGCCACATCTGCATCTGGATGCTACCTCAGATGGCAGAGCTGGGCTCTTAAACATGGCCTTTAGCACAGAAGGCAGTATCTTGGTGCATTTGTGCTGCTGTAAAAAAGTGCCCGAGACTACTTTATAAAGAATGAAAATTTATTTCTCACAGTCCTGGAGACTGAGGAGTCCAAGATGAGATCACTGCCGCTCAGATTGGTCAGGGCTGATGGTGCCTGTTGTGTGCTAGGAGGGGAGTGTTGAGGCCCCACGTGGTGGGGCAGGGGGGATAAGAGGGCCAAGTCCGTTCCTTCCAGCCCAGGTGAGGCACTGATGCTCTTACAGGGGTGGAGGAGGTCACCTCATGCCAGTACCATGGCAGTTAGGACTCCCCACGGATTCCGGGGGGCACACTCACACCGCAGCCTGTCGGACTGTCATGAGCTCCCTGGGGGCAGGGGCTCGTGTCCACTTTGTCCCATGACAGTCCACATCCCTGCTGTTCCGGTTGTGGGCCAACTGCTCAGCACAGGGAGTGTATGCGTGGACAACTGGGACAAGTCTGGCCAGCCAGGCCTGGGCAGGAGATAGCTGCAGACCCAGAAGGCTTCCTAGGGAGCATGTGGGCTGCATACCCACCATGGGGCAGTGGGCAGGGGGGACAAGGCAGGGCTGGACTTCTAGTTCCATCCTTGTGCAGGGGTGCCTGGCAAGGCCAGTAGCTACCAGATGTTCTCAGCAGAGTCCATGAAAACTGGCCCAGCAGAAGGGAGACATCCAGGCTCCTGTTATCTTGCCATAGGGCCTGTCCAGGGCAGCTGATTTTTCCTTCAAACTGGGAGGCAGACATCCGAGGGCCTCTGACAAATTGCTTGGTGGTATACTATTAAGGAAGAATTTCCTGTTAACTATGGCATAAGTGTTGTACCAAGTAAAAATCTCCCTCTTATTCTACTCTATGAACATGCTCACGTCAAATGCAGGGACTCCTGTGGTTCTGTGCTTGTGCGGTTGAACTGCAGAGATGGCCCGCGAGTCAGGCTCCTGGCCCCGTCAGGGAGCATGTCTGGTGTGGGTCTTGGACTCTCCTCTGTGCTCGTCCTCTCTTGGTGGCTGAAGTCATGAGGGCCAGACAGATACCAGGCAGGTGCACGACCCCCGCCCTCACCATGGCTTCAGCAGTGAAGTCAGAATGCTCACTTCCCAGGAGGCGCCATGGGGGGTGCCCTCAGGGTGTTGAGACTCCGCCCAACCACATAGCCCAGGAAGACGGGGCAGGAGCTGCTGTTGTGCCTCAGATCCCCTTCCCTGGAAGCCATGGCCAAAGGCACAGAGATGACAGATTGTACCAGACAGCAGGAAGCTGACCCCTCAAGTCAGCATAGGAGGCTGTCTTGTGGGGGCCTGGCTGCCCGGAGGCTGGGACTGGGTGCAGGGAGCCACCCAGGAGGGTGGAGCCAGGGGCCTGACCAGCTAGCTTTAGTCCCCACTGAGGCCTCTGATTTCAGCTCACGTAGAGGTAAATCAATACCAGTCAGATCCTGACTTTCACAAATGCAAAGTAATGCTTTAGTTCACCTCTGACTTCACCAACTTCCTCTTTTGCTGTAACTTGAATGCAAGAACTTACTCATTCAATATTTATCTTTTAAAATAAGTTTTTCCCCTTTTTAGTACTCAAATGTGCTATGTATATTACTATTTTAGTGACAAAATGCAGTGATGTGAAAAATTTAGAAATCTCTATTTTCCTTTTTCTGATGACTCAATCTAAAGTGCCTGGAACTGACTCGACTTGGGTGTCTGGGCCTGAAAGCCTTTATCCCTCGGAGGGGAAAAGACACCACACCCTTCCTCCTGGGAAGCTGCCAGGCCGCCTGGTTCTGCAGCACACTCTCTCCGCGTGGCAGCCCCACCTGTGAATTCATTTCTTCTCCCCACTGGACCTCCCCTCTGCCCTCACACTGTGCCCTAGGGGCAGTTTCAGTGATGCCCTCCTTTCTCCCTGAAGCCTTGCACTTTCCTACTCCAGCATTCAAGCCGACAACCCCAGACCAGCCAAAAGATGGCAAAAATTAATCCAAAGTTAAATCTTCAGTTATTATCCAGTTATAAAAACATCACATTTTCAGTCTGAAAAGTCTACAGAAAAAGCTTTCATAGTTCCTGTGACTTTCACAATACTCACTGTGTTATTTTTCCAAAATTATACATGAAATAAGAAGTCCCTGTTGGAACATGGCATATTTCAGCTACCATTTCATTTGTTATAAGGAATGGCCAAGCGTATTTGGCCAACCCCAGAGATGTTGTTTTTACACAAAATAAACACAGAGCACAGACTGTTAGCACTGTAGGAACTGTGCGTGCAGACAGGCAAAGCTCAGAGAGGCCGCAGCTGTCAGAGCAGGTGCCTGTTGCTCAGTTTCAGTAGTTCGTGATTATCTCAAATATAAAGCAGGTAGTCACTTACATAAATCTCAGGAAACATTTCATTCACTTAAGTTTTTTTTTTTTAACGTTTTTATCTTGGAGCTCATTGTGCGACTGGAACTAAGCAGCGGGAATCAGCTTATCTTTTGCCAGCTCAGTTTTCTGTCTTCCTGGCCTCCTGGGTGTCCCCAGGTCACATCTCTGGCCTCTGAGGGTTTGTGTGGAGACTGCAAACAGAAAGCTCTGCGCCCCTTCCTGGCTCCTTTTTGCCTAAACTGCAGTTCCTACAGGTACGAATGCACCTGCGCCTGTTATGGGTCGGGGGTTGCTGGGGGTCCGTCCAAGCAGCTTCTGGGGTCCTTTTCTAAAACCCC